TGTTTGAAAACTCTTTATTTGTGCAGTTCCATTTAGTAACACTAGTAGTGCAACAATTAGCTTTAATATCTGATGTGATGTCAGGTATGGAACGATTTTCCGGACAATTTTCAAATAGAATAGCAAATTGTATTTTCAATTGCGTTTTCAATATGTGAACGCCTAAATTGTGACATAATCCAAATGCAGTTGCAAATCCTGCATTACCGTTTGCATTTTCGCTTTCGCGCACGCACAGCTACGGCCAAATTTCAAATGAAAAAGCAAAGTCCATTTGCAACTGTATTTCCCATGTCTTAGGAGTTACGAGCCAGTCATATTTAAATAGCAATATTAATTACCACGTCTGCTTTTTCACTCTCGCTGCGTCGCGCATGTAACCTACGAAAAAAAACTCAAATGGAATCGCAATTCCTTTTGCGTTTGAATTTCCGATGTCTACATGGAAAGCTGCCAATCAATGTGAGGGGGCGGGACTATACTAGGGGGCGTGTTTGTATTGGGAGGTGACGTCACTCACAGACGACCGTGCCGAATGCTCCGATCAATGGAGGTAATCGGTAAAGGCTCTGCTAAAGGCAGCTACCCATCAGTTTCGTACCTGACAGTACAACCTTCTTGGCACAATACATAATTCTGTCATAATTCCGGCACGGTCATCTGTGACCGTGTATAGTCCCGCCCCCTCACATTGATTGGCAGCTTTCCATGTAGACATCGGAAATTCAAGCGCAAAATGAATTGCGATTCCATTAGAGTTTTGGCAGGTTACATGCGTGACGCAGCAAGAGTGAAAAAGCAGACGTGGTAATTAATATTGCTATTTAAATATGACTGGCTCGTAACTCCTAAGACATGGGGAACTACAGTTGCAAATGGACTTTGCTTTTTCATTTGAAATTTGGCCGTAGCTGTGCGTGCGCGAAAGCGAAAATGCAAACGGTAATGCAGGATTAGCAATTGCATTTGTATTATGTCACAATTTATGCGTCCACATATTGAAAACGCAATTGAAAATACAGTTTGCTATTCTATTTGAAAATTGTCCGGAAAATCGTTCCATAGTCAGGTTCAGGTTCTTGGGATGATTATCTTCCAAGAGCAGTTGTCAGTCAGTGTCTCGACAGACTGACCTGCTAAACAGTCTAATTAAGTTAGGCTAATTAACTTAATTAAGTCCCACACTCAGCCAGCTTTACCATTGAATGAAATTAGTAAGGGAAATTAAAGACCATTACTTATCAAACATTTGATTGCCACCTGACAAGATCAAGGACAACATCACTAGCTTAATATAAGCAATTGCATTTCTACTGGTTGAAATGTTTGTAGCAGGTCTCCTTCAGTTTACCTTCTTACACTGTTCTTAAGGCCAGTTAAATAAGTGTTCAGTGGGGCTCTGAGAGATCATACATAAATAGGGTGAATTATTGTAGCTGTGCAGTCAAAGATGCAGTCTGGACCAAAGGTTAGCTATCCTGAAAGTGGTTACCTTGCACCCCTGCATTGCCGGTGAGCTGGATGAAAAGTGTTGAGACGTAGGGAAAATCAATGCACCGGAGTCACGTCCATCACCTTAACTAGGCAAGCTGGATGCCTCATGTCCTCTCAGGGGCCAATTTACAGAGTAAACAGGACCCTGGAGATGGCATGGCAAATTTCAGCTGTCCCGTTGGTCACTTTCTTAGCACTTAGTGGGTTTTATTAACTCACAATGCCTCTACGACACAACCAGGGTGGACCTGTAAAACCCTTCAGTGATGTAGAGGATTTATGATTTGGTAAAATGGCCCAATTTACCACTGAAACCATGAACCTTTTCAAATCTGTTCCAGTGCTCATCAGTGCACATTGCAGCCTAGTTCATTGGTCATTTTTGCTGAACTTTAGACTGCGTGCTTTTATGCTCTGAGATCTCAGTATACTGTTCATTTTAAAAGGGTGTCACAACACAACTAATGATATGTTTGAGTTAAAGGGATAGTTCACCCAAAAATGTGCATTTTGTCATCATTTACTCACCCTCACCCTACAACCCCTTTCAGTGTACTTTTGTGAGAAAAGTTGCTTCCAGACAGATGAGTATAATAGCCCTTGATACATTAGTTAAAATTATGCATTTCTGATCCTTGAATTTAATTGGACGAGTGGCTTTCCAGTAGGTGGCAATAAGTGAATCATTCAATAATTCATCCAACCACTTCATTAAAACATTGATTCATTTAGGAATAAAACAGATGACAGTCTTTATAAGTTAGTCCTTGAATCATTCACTGAATGAATTTGACTTGTGCAATCACACTGATTTGTTCATTAACAAAACAAGTTACTGTCTTTATGAGTAAGTCCTTAAATTCACTGAATCTATTC